CAGGGAAGTGTCAATGTTGTACAATATTTGAGAGTATAAGAACATATGGAAAAAGTGTTTATCCAGGTGGTAGCACACTGCTGAGCTCTACCTGGAAACCCGAGCTCAGTTTCCTAACCTAGGTTCTGCAGAGCGGATCCCACCGCTCTGAGTGCAGCTGCATCTATTCATTCACCCTCAGGAAATGGTCCTTCCAGTCCATTGTGTGTGCAGTTCCTTCTGAAAGTTTTTATCTGGCCCTAAAGCAAATCCCTGCTGCTCTGGGAGTTGCCTGGGTGTGTAAAGAGCCAACATCAAATTAGTGAATGACACTGGTATTGTGGTGCTAGCAGGATCCCATCAGTGCCAGCTGAAAGTTCTCCACTGTGTAGGCAAGACTGAGTTTTGCTGACTTATAAGGGGTCAGAACTGGGTCAAAGTCAGAGAATAAAGGGAAGGGACCAGAGCAGGAGCGAGCTGTGCAGGGCAAGGTTTGATGTGCACAGCTGGGAAAGATGAGGGCAGCGAACCTGGTACTGGAGCAGGCCACTCTTCCCCTGCCCCCTTTTGGCAGCAGGTTCTGGCATGTGTATTCTGAGTCAGCAGGGCCCAAGAGCCAGTCACCTGGCACTGGCAAAGTCAGCAAGGGGGCAATAAGCATTTTTCCACCCTCAGCAATTTCTTGGCCCATGTAACTGCCCGCTTCACCTAGGCGGCCTGCCACAAAGCGAGCTGAGCAAGAGAAGCCCAGGGAGGCTGCTGGGGGAGCGGCAGGCATGTAGAAAAGGGAAACGGAGCAGCAGAGATGTGTGCTAAGGAAAGGCAGAAAAAATAACATGGCAGTGATTCAGTCTCCTCCACCCACAGAGGGGAGCACAGCGGCTTCACTGCGTGTGACAACACTGGGGAAGGGAACTGCTGTAGGAGCAAACAAGGTCACTGTGTTACTACATTCTAGGGGACTCAGAATATTAAAGATCCCTAGCACATAAATTTCCCAAATAGTTAAATTCTATATAAATATTAGGCCAAGTGCCCCCCTGGTATAGCAGCAGTGATTGTATGACAGCAAGGATGGGTTTACTCCAGTGTGTTTAGGTTCTGTGTTGTTTTAACCAGCTGCTTGGGGTTTTGATTTCCTTTAATGGGTAACAAGGGCCATCCAAACCAGAGTTGCTGCTTTGCTTAGATTTCATTGAAAGAGACACTGCTAAAGGGAGAGGAAATCCCCAAAATGATACTCAGTGATTAAGTACATAGAACATAGGATTTCAGTGTTTGCAAATCCTTTTTTTCAAATGAACTTGTGGCACTAATCCTCTAATGGCATTATTTCTTTGGAATATATGCTGGATTAAGGAGTCACAATGAGGCAAAGTACAAAAATCCACATTAATCTCTCACTGATGGATGCTGTGTGGGATGCAGCTTCAACAATTGGTTCCAAAATTGGTTCTGTTCCTAACCTTGCCCCAGGTCTACACAGAGGGAAGAGTAGATCTAAACAAGTGTGACACTGAGCACTTGGCAGATGGTCACAAACCACTTAACTGGATAGACAGGGGAAGGCGTTTATTATCTTTAAACTCCAAAAGCTGAGCCTGCCCTGTGCTGTCCAGGAGGTGCTGCAAGAAGCAGACGCAGAGGTCCACAGGGCAGGAGCAGGACACGTGTCCAGAGCTGTGCCATTGACAAGACAGCAACCACCATGGCAAGGCCCAGCCTGGCAGCTAACTGGGCATGCTCGTGTTTTCAGCCCAGTGCAGCCACCTCGCTCTGGTTATCCTGCTCTCTTCTGGGATAACCCTGCTGTCCCCTCTCCCTCACTGCTGCTGTAAAAAAAAAAAAAAAAAAAAAGGTAAATATTTGCTTTCTAGGAAGAGGAAACTAGGTCACTGAAACTACATTTTCCTGCTCACCAGATTACAGGGAAGCTGTCATGGTGCCATGAGTTATTTCACTATCATTCAACAACCTAAAATGGTAAAAATGTCCAGAGGAGGCCACAAAGATGCTCAGAGGGCTGGAGCCCCTCTGCCATGGGGACAGGCTGAGAGAGTTGGGCTTGTTCAGCCTGGAGAAGAGAAGGCTCCGGGGAGACCTTATAGCCCCTTCCAGTACCTGAAGGGGCTATAAGGGAGCTGGGGGGACTTTTTACAAGGGCCTGTAGTGACAGGACAAAGGGTAATTTAAATTGAAAGTGGGGAGGTTTAGATTGGATATCAGCAAGAAATTCTTCACAGTGAGGGTGGTGAGGCACTGGAACAGGTTTCCCAGAGAAGCTGTGGATGCCCCATCCCTGGAAGTGTCCAAGGCCAGGCTGGATGAGGCTTGGAGCAACCTGGTCTAGTGGAAGGTGTCCCTGCCCACCCTGCCCATGGCAGGGGGGGTGGAACTGGATGATCTTTAAGGTCCCTTCCAACCCAAACCATTCTGTGATCCTATGATTCTATAAGAATTTCTGAATGGGCAACGCATCACCTAACGTATGGACGTCGGAGCATTCAACTTAGCTGCAATTGATGCTTCACATGCTTCAAGATTTCCCCAGGTCCAGGGAGTGGCAGTTATCAGACATTCCCATTCCACATTCTCTTTGAATGCCCTGGGCCAGCAGAGCCTGGCACGTGTTCCCAGACGTGGGTTGCTTTGTCTCACTTTCATCCCTGGCCGCTCTGTTAAGCACAAGTGGAAAAGAGATGGCAAATTCAATGAGTTCCTTACCAACAGAAACGCTTGGGGTTTCCAAAGTCTGTACAACTGAGATGCCTAAACATGGGAGTGAGAAGACTTTAAATAATGCACTAGCTTTTCGCAATTGTAAGGGCTCTGCCCTTGAACACTTGGATCACGGCAGGTAACTTCCAACACAATAAGAAAATGTACATACAGATATGTGGATATGTCAGTGTATATACCCGCATTTCTATATACACATGCAAAAAAGTATGTGTATATAGAAACTACATTTGCTTTATTTTGACATTTTTTTCCCCCTTGCTATCATAACACGAAAGTGATCTGTCAAAGTCATAGGGTTTCTGATACTTCTTCTATTTTGGAACTGAACTGTTCCAAACAAGCTCATTTGCTTCCAGCATTGGCACAGACCCCATGTTCATAGCTACAATATCTGGTTGTTTTCTGTACTATCACTTCAGCTTTGCTCTCAGGTCAATGGGGTTTTTTTTGCATTTTCCACCCCTGAGCTTGGGAGCGTGTACCATTGTTTGGGTGAAGATGTCCTTGGACTCCCTGTTGCACAGCTCCTCCTCTCACCTTCCTGATTGCCCGGCTGGCCTTTGGCATGAAGAATCCCTTTGGTGCTAAAGTTAACCTGGTTTCCCCTCACAACGGAGACATGTCAGCCTTCCTGTTTCACCATGTCCACAAGTGTGAACTGAACCTGGGGATTACGTGGTAGGAGAAGCACCAGGTTAGCCCTTCAGTGTTCGGTGGCCTCAGGGACAGTCTGTGTTGACAAGGCAGCAGAGACTGATACGTGCATCATTGAGGACTGGGGCCACGGAATCTGCTGTGCAAATACTGAGGATTACCAGTTCCTTTTGAAGGTCCTTTAGCGGACAAGTTCAGAGTCTGGTCCACTAAACAGTGCCTTTCTGATACTAGCGTGAAGGGAACAGTAAGAAATGCTCAGTGCATCTGGTGTTACGAAAGGGGGTAAACAAGAGTAAACGTTACTAAAACTAACTCCTGCTATGTTTGCTGATCCACTGAAAGATGACATTCAGAGCTGCCAGGATAAACATGAGGAGGACATCCCAAATCGTTCCCCGTTTGACTTTGTTATAAAACAATTCCAAGGGAAGAGGTCTTCTCCCGGAAAAAGAAAAGAGCAGCCTTCAGCCATCAAAAAGTTGTTCAGGGGCTTTGACTTTCGGGAAATCTGAAGGCAAGGGTGGAAGGGAAATTTAAGAAACAGAAATAAACAGCTCTGGAGCTGATGATCAGAGTGAGAAGCAAGATGTCTCTGTAGGAGGTCGTGATGGTAGAACAATGAAATACACGTGCATTGCACGTAATTTCATAGAAAATCAGTTGCTTTTTTTGACAGCCAAAGTGCTGTATTTTGTTGCCTGTAGTTTATCCTTTAGCCAGGATTTGCATCTGATTGGAACATTATCAAGGATATGCCCTCAAATTTGGTAGGTGCCAAGCAAGGAGTGGGATCCATGTTGCTGAGGAGGGATAAAGCTTTTGGGTGATATCTCTCTTGATCGCCAGTGTGAAAGGTCAGTGCTGGAGTCTGCTCATTACCTGCTTGGTTTCAAAGCCAAGCTTGGAGCAGTAGCTGGGCTTGTGTTTAAGATTGGTCTCTGCTGGCCCTGCTGCTGAAGCAATGTGGAGACAACCAGAGCAGATGTTTCCTACCACTTGACACTGGTGAGGGGGCAGGGAAGGGAATGGAAATTCATCGTGTATGTTCTTTTGCACACACAAGAATAGTCTTTACATCCACACCAGAGAAAATTAGGCTGTTTCTAGAAAGGAGCTGGAAGGTGAGGCTTAGAACCCGATCCTTTGTCCTAAGAGTTTTGGGGAAGTTTGGAGAAACGAGGAGGGAATAGGCAGTGAGTGTGGGATTGGTATTTTGTGTAACTTTTGGCTGTTTTTTTCCCAGCTATAAGCATTAGATGAAATTACTGATTTGTCAGTGGATTTAGCAATTAATGTGAATGCAATTTTCCTTGCTGTACAAACTGCATGGAAGAAGGAGGTGAGTGGGGGTTGCTTTGCAAAGCCCAGAAAAGCAGGACCTGCCTTACACAGACGATGTATGACAATGCACACATGAAGGAAGCAGCAGGTTGACCACACAACTGCAGGGCCACTTGCTGCTGGCTGATTGAGTACAGACTGTGTTGTAGCAGTGAGGCTGCAGTGAGGCACACAGAGGTGGTTATGTGACTTGTGCATCCAGAAGAGCTGCGTTCAGAGCTTTGCACGAATTTCATGTCCTTGAACTGGTGCTGCAAACATCCAAAGTCACTGGCATAAGGTAGTGTGGAGTTGTGCAACAGCAGATTCTTTTCTCACTCTGCACTGGGAGCTTTGTAGTATCTGATCTATAGTAATCTTATCACTCAGGTTACCACATTGGTCAAGAATAGACCCTGGTTTGCTGACAGATTAGTGAATTCCCTAAAGTCTTCCCCTGACAGCCACAGACAGATTTTACAACACACGGTGTTCGTAGCAGAGGTAACCGGGGCCCTATTTCTTTATTACTCAGGTGGGCTTTCACATCTCACTTCTGAAGCGGAGTCACCATCTGGTGAGCAGAGATTTGACCAGTTCATGCAGAACCTGGGAAAGAAACCCTTTAGCAAGAATCTGGATCTAGACAATTGTGCGTTAAGTGCAGCAGATGTTACAGTGCTGGGTAAATACACATTTTTATTCAACTACTCACTTCATACAGTTCTATAATTCTTATTTGCCTATTCAATTATTCACTCTCCTCTTTTCCTTTCCCTTTCTTTTATACAGGCTTTATTCAACATTTCATCTGTTGGTCCTAGGTCCCTGAGAAATGTTAATTAATAAATTATATAAATTATGTAATGTATATAAATATAAGAATCATACAGGTCTGTGAAGCAGATGAATGTCCTTACATTCAAACTGCAGACAAGAAGACGGAGGTGCAAATTGTCATGGCTTTTTAATGCTGCATTGATTGTAGATGTAGATCTACTGACATCCAGGGTGTGCAGATAACATGCAAACAGAAGATGCTTTTTCTTTTCTTTTCTTTTCTTTTTTTTTTTTTTTTTTTTACAGCTTCTTTAATGTCGTTTCTCCCCGAGCTGGAAGAGATCAGCCTATCCTGGAATCGTTGTGTTGGTGGGACTTTGAAAGCTCTCACTATTCATCTTCATCATGTGAACCTGTTAAAAGTCCTTCGACTTACCAGCTGCAGGCTGGCAGCTGAGGATGTCACCTCCTTAGGTACAGGATTTCATTTCCATTTACTTCCAGACAGCTTGGGTCTGCTGTAATCCAAATCATCTCTTCCTGCGTCCTACCCCTGCTGCTGCTGCACCAGGCAATGTAAACTCCCGCTGTGAAACCGTAGAAAGAACTTGGGCTTAGGAGTGATCTTAGGCATTTGGGTAGCTCTGCTGAGTTCATTCCTCAGGGCATGGAATTTGCATGTTCAGGAGGGAACTGAATTCAGTCCTATTTGCAGGAAAGCATGTTTTCAATTCAGTATGTTTTTTGGCTAGCTTTCCTATCTTGTGGTAGACAGAACCCAACTGAGTCAGTCAGAGGCAGCTTAGGTCTTCGTGCTGCAGCACAGACACAGTGCTCAGCTCAAAAACATGGATGGTCTTCTGGAGGGGACCTAAAACCCATGCTGCCTTGAAGCTTTGTTACTTGTTTTTTCAAGCTTATTCTCCTGCGTACTTCTTTGCTTGGAGTGCCTGCAACCCTGCTTTCTGCAAAGCATGAGATTTAAAGGTTTTAAAGATGGTGTGACACACTCAGGTTCTGACGCTCAGTCACCTCTGGGCCTGGAGTTTACTCTGGGGTGCGTCTGTGATACCTGTCTAAAAGAAGACCAGTCTCAATCACCTAGGAATTCTAAAATACTGCTGTTTGTTTTGCAAATTCTAAAGACTGGTCTGAGTTTTAAAACTGGATTTTATGTCATTCACAGCCAGGCTATTTTCAGGAAGGGTTCAGAAATAAAATTACATGTATGGTGGTAGCTCAAAAGTGTGTCATGCTATCTGTTGTGGAGGAAGAATGCATCTCTGCAAGAGCTAATGAAAAGAATTAGTCTGTTTCTGATGAGGCAAAAATCTGTGTTTCATTTTCTATCAGACTTTTTCAAATTTCTTTCTTTCTTTTTCAACCCCTTTTCTCATACTTTTTCTTTTCTCTTGAGTTTTATTGGTTATATTTCCAATTGATTTATTCTGCCAGGTTCTTCTGTGCTGTTTCCTTCCCCATTCTGGTTTCGCCTCTGATGAGACAGGCTGGCAAAGGCTAATTTTTCTGAATGTAATCAAAATCAGTGCTGTCTGTCTTGAAATCATGGGAAAGTTAGTTTGGGTCAAGCCAATGCTCATCTGAATTCCTTATGAAGTGAGTCAGAAACTCCTGTCAGAAACGAAACTTTTAAGTTTCAGAAATAGTTCAGAGGCTTTTTTTCAGATCCTCCTGTGGACACAGTACAGAGGGTGTTGGAAGTTTGCCAAATAAAAGAGAGCAGAAGTACACAGGACAGTCATTTCAGCTTGTCACTTGCATTGACTTCCCTGCAGACCACACTTTCTGGTCCTAGCACAGGTCTGCAGTGATGGCCGTGCAGTCTGTGTCTGCAGTGGCAATGACTCGTGATGTGTATTGCTCCTTAGGCAAGGTGAGAATTTATACAACATTGCTGCAGTGGCAACAATTCATGGCATCACCAATGTTCCTGGCAAACCTTGTAAAATATATGTATTATATGTCAGGTTAGGGTTCAGAGAACCAGAAAGCCTACAGTTCCAGGGACAATTGGGATTGCAGAGGCATGCCAGGAGGAGCATGGCACTGCACCGATGTTGCTCCCTCCACAGCTTTCATAGCTGGGACAGCTGTGGTGTTGGGGACATGAACCTCGGCCGAAAGCTGTTAGGGTTCAGTGCGGGGAGAGTCACCCCCCACACTGTTTATCTGGGACACATCTTAGGGTAAATTATTTGCTCTCTGGACATGCTTCCTCTTTCCCCAGACAGAAAATAGACAAGTGCACAGTCAGGCCAACTAACTTTTAACAAGCTAATCCTACTCTCCGAGGGAAATCCAAATTCACCATCATCACTTAATGCATGTCCTGTGAAGCCATATGAAATGGGCTTATTATCTGTGTCTCTCCCTGCTGGAGGTCTTATGGATAAGACAAAACAACTGGCGCTAATTAGTGCATCCAGTGGTAATTTCAGCAAAAGGCTGAGGATTGAGGGGATGAGCTGGCCTCGCCTTCTCCTACTCCTTCAGAGAAGGATGGAGTTGCATAGATGGGGCGGCTCTGTGGTGTGACCGTATGTCTGCTGTGGTTATGCGCTGAAGGTTAGTCCAAGGGCTTTGCCTGCAATACCTCGTGCAAACTCTGTGGAAGTAATTAAATACTAAACCTGTGAACTGTGCTGTTGCAGCAGCCAGTGACTGCTATAAATACTAAAGCACGCTCTCTTTTTCACTGCAGACTCTGCTTTACAGCACCCTTCAGAGCTCAGAAAATTAGATATATTGTGTAACAAAGGGATTGGTTGTGGCTTTAAAGACCCAACAGCTCACTTGGCCAGCTTGAAAAATCCCCAAGTCCCTGATCTCCACCAGTGCTGTGTAACAGAAGAGGACATGACCATGTCTCCTAGCGTCTGATCCCATGTGAAACTAAGGACCTGAATCCACCATTGTCATAACTTTTTGACATTGGTATTTTACTCTTTAGAACAGTAATGACAAAAACTCCCATGACTCAAAGCCTGTGTTGCCCACATCTTATTTTCCATGCTAAGGAAGTTAATTTGAAAAGCTGATGAAGAAGCATTGGGAAATATTAACTATTACTAATAGCAGTCATTATTTATTTTTAATTTATTGACTAATAGAGAATAACAGCATTAATATAAAGGGGTTTCAGTTAGCAGTGAAGACATTTGGAAATAAGCCGCATCTCATGTGATGTTAAACTCCCTACTTCACCTAGAAAATACCAACAGGAAGCCATGTCCTGACAACCTTCCACACAGTATGTAATGCCTGATTTCTTAAACATTCCTACTGAAAATGGCAAGACTATTTATGGACTAAAACATTACTCACCATAAATTTGAGTGTCAGAACTTGGCCTCGACTTTTGGATTGATTTATAAAGAAAAGAAATTATGTCAGGCAAATATACAACTACATATTTGTTCTGGATTGGCGACTGCCTGATAAATATTTGATGTTTTCGTAGCTCAGGTGGTACCTTTACTCTCCAGTCTTCAAGAGCTAAATTTATCCTCGAATTAAAATGTAGGATTCTTACCCAATCCTCTTCTGGGCTGGCTCAGGTCTTTACCAAAGCCGAAATCTCTGGCCATCAGCAATTGTGGTTTACGCAGAGTCATTTTCATCACGAGGTAGGAATGTTTTAGGTTTGTCTGTTCTCTGCGTATCCTTGTGGGACAAAGCATTCCATTCTTCCTTGGCTGAACTCCAAAGGTTGTGGTTACATTATGCCACAGGTCCCCAGTGAAAAAGCCTGAGATGAAACCAGTGCTTCATGGGATCTGGTTGCAAGGGAAGACCATGGTACATCTTCCCCCTTTATACCTGACTGGACAAAGTCCTTTTACTCCTTTGCCTGATAGTGAGCTCTCGTACACTTGTAATTTTGGAAGAGAAAGGAAAACATGATTTCATACTATGCTGCAATTAGAGTTTGGTTGTAACACTGCATTTGCGGCTTAGTGGGGTAAAGTTCTGACTGAAGGTTTTTCTCCTCACTGCAGGTGATAGTTAAGCATGGGGCAGTGGAGGAACTGAGGCAGTGTCTGCAGTAGTGAAAAAGGTGTTGCACAGCCAAGAAGAAAATTCCAGTCTAACACGGGATATGTATTCAGCCTCTTTTGTCTACTTATTGCAAATCTCACTGGATTAATGGCTGCACTGTCCCCTTGATAGGCGTTCCATATGGCACATGAAATCTGAGTACAGAGGGATCTGTTAATTACTGCGTATTGTCCACTTACATTTTGTGCTGTTTACTAGTGATGTGGAAACCTGTAGTAAAACTGGACTGCCCTCAGCAGAAGCAGTGGCAAGCTAAACTGCGCTGCAGTCCCTGCAGGAAGAGTACTATATTTATATCGTTACAATTATGTAAGGGTGACATCATGGAAATCGGTGTCGTCAAAAGATGCAGAGCATTTCACCTTGCATGGTGAGATGACAGCAAAACATTCATGTCTCTAAGTTGATATAAAATGGTTTAAAACCAAACTGTTATATTAAATTGACTTCAGTGGGACAGGGTTAAGCCAATAATGTGAAGATAAAGACAAGAAACCCCTCCACAGAGTCCTTAAAGACTCTATAGTCAGGCCCTTATATTCTTTAAAGAGCACAGGAGGTATTTTTGTCTGAGTTTTATTAGGATAACACAAGTCATTCTAAGCACAAGTAGGCAGCCTGCTAGGAGCCAATTTACAGGTGAATTGCCGGTGAGGTGTCTGTTGAGGCCATGTTGTCTTCTCTTAGTAAGCAGAAGTTGCTGGTCTTAATCTTTTCAGCTGAGGCTGCCCTTCACCTTCCTGAACTGGAGATATTAGACCTTTCTTGGAATAAGTGCGTTGGTGGGAACCTAAAGCTGCTTTTGGGAGCGCTAAAGCTTGCAGCGGAGATTCAAGTGTTAAGACTGAGCAGCTGTAACTTGGTGGCTGAAGATTTGGCACTTCTAAGTACGTATAACAGGGTATTTAGTAGCAGTCAGGGAGCCAGGGCAGTTAGACCACAATTCAGAAGGGGCTTGTTCCATGGGCTAAGCACGTTTTTGCATAAAGCAAATGAAAAGATGGAAAATACAGCAGTATTTTTCCCAGAAAGGGGTTTCATTTTGCTGAAGACCGTGTGTCCTGTACATGCACAGTGCAAAAGCTGAAAAGGATAAAAAGGCAAAGAATCATTTTAGCCGAGATGTATCTATTAATATGAAAAAACAGCACTTAGAAGAACGTAAGGATTATGTCTGGTTTTTGTATCAGATATTTAAAGCTGCCTCTGAAGTGTTTTATTTTACTCAGTTGCTGGTTTGGGGTTCAGCAATTTATGGGAAATGTACCTGCTGACAGGCAGTAATACAGGCACCACCAGCTCTCGCTCCGTTAGGTGTGTTTCTGGAGTCAAACTGTGACGGGAGAATTAAAGCAGAAATATTTTAGCCCACCTCTTAGCAGCTGCTGAGAAATACTGGAAAATGGAAACCCAGTGAAGGAATAAATTTTAGGATCTTTCTAAAAACCTGTTTATTTCATAATCATCCTTGTGATTCTGGGTCTGATTGATGTGGTTTGAGTGTCTGAGATTGGCAATAGCTGTGTGACAGCTACTAAGGCCCTGTAATCTGAAGGCTGGTGAGATGAAGCCCAAATATTTTTGATGTTACAAACACCGCCCTTCATGGGTATGTCCTTTGGCAGTGGTACATTAAGGATCCCAGTTCCCTTTGGGTATTTGAAGCCCATTACCCTCCCACAGCGAGAGGTGGCTGTTGTAATCATGCAACCTCATGTAGTTTTGCTTTCCTCTTTCTAAATCTCCCTGTAAAGCCTGTCTGCCTGATTTAATGGGCACTTGATAGAACTGCCTTCCAAAGATTCTGGATGCAAAGCAATCCATAAGTATTCTGGATTAGGCTATGCAAAGATTTCAGGATACTTCAGGGAAGCTCTTTCTCATCCTGAGCTGTTTCAGCCTTACCCAGACTGGCCCTTCTGTACAGACCCTTTTATGACATGCACCGCAAAACCGAACTCCCAGATCTGAGTCTGATCTAGAGCATAGGAAAGCCAGTGGGAGTCCCTGCAGTGCCTGCATGTTTCCTGTGCTCAGGGTTAATCCATTAACCTTCACAACACCTTGTGACATAGACAGGGGACTTATCCTTACCCTAAAGATGAAGGAAATTAGCAAAGTCAGTAATTTAAAGCCACAGAGCAGCTTCTAGCTAAGAGTGGGGCACCCTGCTCTGTGTCCAGGCACCAGCTTGGGATGTGTAAGTGGCTCCTCCTTTAGCTGATAGTTTCTTACCTGGTTTTTTATTGTATTTGCTTACACAGAGCCAAATTCTGGCACAGCTACTTGTGTCATGGAGCATGTTAACCCACACGTGAGCTCAAAGACTGCAGTGGGATTATTCATTGGTAAGGTATTTTAGGAAGTAAAGATATTAGATCTGCCCACTGAGTGAGGAGTCTTAGAGGCAGCTTGAGGGATAAAGTACTTCTCAATTAGCCCTGAGCATATCTACGTGCTGCAGCAATCTCCTGGAGGAGAGGCACAACAGGATCATTCAGTGGCACTTTCCAAGCTTTCTAGGATCCCTCTCAGCAAGGTGTCCCATGCAGATGCAGATCAATATTCAGCTTTTGCTCCGGGTGACCCTTCCAGCATCAACTCCTGGCTGCTCAGGGCTATAACCAGCAGCTGACCATGCTGTGCCGATACCTCTTGATCATTTGATCCATGATTTCATGTGAGGGTCTGTGGTTCTGGTTCTGGCTGGAATAGAGTTAATTTTCTTCGCAGTAGCTGGGTTGGGGCTATGTTTTGGTTTTGTGCTGAAAACAGAGTTGATAATACAGAGGTGATTTTGTTATTGTTGAGCAGTGCTGACACAGAGTCAAGGTCTTTTCTGCTTCTCACCCCACCAGTGAGTGGGGGGCCACAATAAGTTGGGATGGCTGACCCCAGCTGGCCAAAGGGATATCCCAGACCATATGACATCATGCCCAGCATATACAGCTGGGGGAGGAAGGAAGGGAGGGATGTTTGGAGTGATGGCGTTTTTCTTCCCAGGTCACTGTTACTCATGACGGAGCCCTGCTCCCTGGAGCTGGCTGAACACCTGCCTGCCTATGGGATGTGGGAATGAAGTCCTTGCTTAGCTTCACTTGTGTTCATGGCTTTTGTTTTACCCATTAAACTGTCTTTACCTCAATCCATGGGTTTTCTCACTTTTACTCTTCTGATTCTCTCCCCCATCCCGACAGGGGGTGTGAGCGAGCGGCTGCCTGATGCTCAGTCACCAGCTGGGATGGACTTCCTAGTTGCAATTTCAGTTCTGCTTGAAAAGTGCATTTGGTTCCCCCAGCTCTGAGAAATGTGAGATGAACTGGAGTGACTTGGTCCGAGGTACCAGGGAATTGCTGCAGCGTAGGAGCCGTTATTTTGTACAGAGAGCCTCAACCTCTGAAATGAACTTTCCTCCTTGAACCTCTCTCTCTAGTTCAGTAAGGCAGCTGGCCCATGTCTGGTGTCTGTTGTAATCTTACTGACTGAACTGGACTTTGCTATTGGGGTTTCTTGCTGTGTCATACTTGGGCTCCTCATTCTGACTTCCAGAGCACAGGATGGACTCACTGCTACCAACCTCTCACTGCTTGTGATCCCCTTCTCAGTCCTTTGCCCTCTCATCATTCTCTCATACCTTTCCTGCCAATAAAACCCTTTTATTAAATCACTTCTATTAAGCATCCTGTCTACCTGCCAGTCTTCCCATAAATCTCTCTCTTCCAGTGATTTCCTCCTTGGTAGCCTCTGCATCATCCTGCTCTCTGTGCCTCTTTTCACTTAGGGTGAAAAAATTTCATGAACCCTCCAAACAATCAAACCAGCATCCGTGACCTAGTAAAATGGAAACCAACCTGAGCAATCCCACTTTCCTGCACTCCCAGCTCTCTCCTGCCAACAGCGCATTAAGGAAACTTCAGTATCATCGCCCAAAGTGCCAAGTGGGAGCGAGATCCATACCCTGGATGCAGATGTAGTGGCAGCACTACCTGGAGGTGGAGCTCTTGGAAGAGCTGGGTCTCCGTGACGCTGCCTTCACCAACTCCTCTGGGATGCCACCACCTTATGCTTACAGATGAAAACCGGACAAGGATATCTGATCCCTCGGACAAACAGCTACCTGTGAAGTACTGTGGAAAGACACGGTTGCATATAAATTTGGCATGCTAGAATTCTGGTAAGGGGTGTTTGTCATGATTCTTTTGAATAACTGAGGTGTTAGGGCATGCCAGGACCCCAAACCATTGCGGAATATTGCATTCTGCAGTCTCTCTGCTTTCACATGATCCTGTTTTACACACCCATTGTACAAACTGTTACCAAGCTATCTCGGAGATGAACTATAACACTAAGGATTTGACAGCTTGCAGTCATTCAACACACTGCAACTACACATTGTCAAAACATCAGTGAATGCTTCTGCAAAAGTCTAGAGAGCTTTTCAAAAAGAGCTTTTCACACCTCTGTGCAACAGGATGGTAACACAGGTTCTGGTAGAAGCACGTATGTTCTGCCTGGAATCCTCCTCCATATTTCCAAACAAAGCATTGATCATTTCTGAACATAAAACTCATTGAATAACTGCTAGTAGGTGGGGCCACAAATGTTTCACTCTAGATATAGCTGTACCTCACTGACTGGAAAACAGATTTCTAAGAACTGCATGTAAAATACTTTGGGATTCAGAACAAAGAACAGTTTGTTGTGGCAGGTTCCCACTGATTAGATTAATTTCCTGTTAAACAGCTGCCTTTGTGCTTTGAGATAACATACATTCAGAGTGAGACATCTCAAGAATGTTTCAGAATCTGCCTGATTGAGGTGGAGTCAATGTTGACAAAAACAAACCTCAAAAAATTGTCTGTTTTCATTGTAACACTGATTCCAATGCTTTAATACTGCTTGTCTCCTACTCGCCTATCTTCCCTCACATTTGCCCTTCTTGTAAATGAAAAGAGCTCTGTGCAGTTTACTGCCCAAATACCACTTCTGGCTTCTGATCCTTTTACAGGCTTCTATTTTCCTTTTCCTTTCTTTTCCTTCTTTTTATTTTTCCTTAGATTCTTAAGTGTCAAGATGGGTCTGATCCCCTTCTGGCTCATCAACCCACACCACAACCCACGCCACAAGATCTGAAAAAGAGAAAAACAATCTGGTTACCTGGAGGAAAAGGGTAAGAGCAAACAGTCACATGAACAGTATTACTGGTGGGTCTTCTCACATCGGGGGGTCTGCTTCGAGCTGAGCTCTGGGAAACATCTTTTTCCCCAGCCCTTGAGGTTGAGGTGATGGGGGAGGACCACCTGGCGCTGGTGGGTACAGCGCTTCCTAACTTTTATCCTGTTTGGCTCCCTTACAATTACAGGAGGAGCCCTGACCCATGCATTGCATTCCTTCCTTCCCAATGCCTTTGTGTCCATAAGGCCAGAAACACAAGGGCTACTTTTCACCATGTATTTGGCTTAGAGAGTATGGGAGCTGCTTAAAGTGCCTGTCGTGACAGTCAGGTATTTTTAAGAGGCTCAATGAGCCAATGGCTACAGGCAGGTACACACACAGTTATTCTCCATATGCAGTTCTTTGGGATTCTGGAAAATATGTATGCATCACCTCTAATAATTAAAGGATTTTTCCTTAGCTTGATATATAATCAATGTACCAAGAATATCAGTAAGTGCAGAAGTAAGGTTTATGAACTGAGATATGATTGGGATGCCTACTAAACACAGGGAGACAATGTGAGTTTCAAACACTGAGTTTTGATATTACTCCTATTGTGACAGCCCTGGACTGATGCTGCACCAGGTACCTACGGTGGTCAGGAGAACCTCCAGTCCTGCATTTGGGAACAGCTGCAAGTTCATGGAATCACCACGGAAGTCCACAGAATCACCATGCCGCAGCAGACCAAGAGCTTCTCCCCTCTATTGCTCCTACCTTCAATTTGCTGATGTCTTCTGACAGACCTGTGAGTTTAATTCCTTTACTTTGTCCCAGTATAATCTCTCTAATGAGGGATTTCCTTTGGAAAGACACTGGATTGGTTTCCAGACAGGCTATGGCATTTCAGATGTGTCAGTTCTTCTACCTCTGCAGGTACCTAGACACAGTCATTAAAATGATACATTATGTCAATTAAACAGCAATCTTTGAGATTTCGTTTTTAGGGGAAAAATCTCCAAGAAAACACTGAGGAGCTGCATTTACTGTTGATGGATGAACACAGAATATTCTGCTCGTTAATATAACATTATACCTCACAGTATGGTAAAAATTTTGGCCAAAAAAATTCCATGTTTCCTCTGCTGGAAAGATTTCTTATGGGGTTAAATTTATTTCTTAGGAGAAACATCAGTCTGTGTCTTCATTTCCTTTGTTATGCATAGTGCAGGGGAGAGTAATGTAAATGAATGAAACCTGAAAGTGATTCTTTTGCATAAGTTATCACTTCTGTAAATGTAATCTTCAAACTGCACAAGTGAAAATCTCCTTGGAAAAGAAGTGTTGCATTAGATAAAAGGGAAGGTGTATTCTGAGCCCTAAAATGAGAACGTCCATGAATACTGCTACACGTATAATAGCAGAGCTTTAGGGTACAGAATTGTTCATTATCAAACAAGCAGCAAATGTTGATAGCGTTAAAGGCATTAGCATTATCACATCCATATTTAATTTGCCCTCTCTCTGTTTCAGTTTGTGACGTATAGATTCTGCACAGATGCAGCTCTTAGATGATCTTAGATGATCAGAGGGCTGGAGCACTTCTCGTATGAAGAAAGGATGAGAGAGTTGGGCTTGTTCAGCCTGGAGAAGAGAAGGCTCCGGGGAGACCTTATAGCACCTTCCAGTACCTGAAGGGGCTACAAGGAAGCTGGAGGGGACTTTTTACAAGGGCCTGTAGTGACAGGTCAAGGGGTAATAGGGTTAAATTGAAAGTGGGGAGGTTTAGATTAGATATCAGCAAGAAATTCTTCACAGTGAGGGTGGTGAGGCACTGGCACAGGTTTCCCAGCAAAGTTGTGGATGCCCCATCCCTGGAAATGTCCAAGGCCAGGCTGGATGAAGCTTGGAGCAACCTGGTCTAGTGGAAGGTGTCCCTGCCCATGGCAGGGGGTTGGAACTAGATGGGCTTTAAGGTCCCTTCCAACCCAAACCATTCTATGACTGTATATTATTTTAGGAATCTCACCAAAGCAATTTTCACTCAGATCTAGTACCCTGACACTGGTTAATCTGGTGAAGGACCCCGGCACTGTGCACAATTCGGTGTTACTCAGATAAACACGGGAAAGGGACAGCCAGCAGCAGATCTGGTGTGGGAGCTTTGCCAAGCTGTTAGCAGACAGTCTGAGTACTCTCATTTCAGTGAGATTCTACAAACCTGGGGAAAGCTTGTGCAGGAGATTGGGACAGATCCAGCACAACCAGCTTCTGGCAGTGTTGCAGTGTAGGAGGAATAGAGGATAAGTTATTAAAAGCTAAAAATAGTTTAACTAAGTTTGTCAAAAAGCTTACCTCTTGTAGGATGAGACTGATTAGGTTTTTGTTCCAGATCTATAATTTCTAAATTAGCAATATGACAAAGCTCTTTGTGGAAACTTTCAAATCTATTTTTCTGGAGGTAAATTTCCTTGAAGTTTGTCAGGTTCGCTATTTCTTTGGCAGACACTTGAAATGATTGTTAGAGAGGCCGAGCAGCTCAACATGAGGGAGGTATTCACTATCTGCACTGGAATTTCGTGCAGGTTTTATACAGCCTGAGCTGATGAAGGGCCTGCAAGTTGCTGATAACTGGCAGCAAACTACAAGAGAGGGAATTGTTACTTAATCTAAGCTCAGAAGACACTTCAGCTCCCCCAGTTCTTTGCATATGTCCTATACGTGGTTCTGATCCAAGCAGAGGAGCTTCATGTGTCTCAGGCAATTGATGTCTCTGGGAACGCTTACAATCAGGTTCTTTTCCAGATATTCCAGACTCAAGACCCCTGGCAAGATGGTTTGCAGTTGCTTGTTGGCCAAATCAATGAAAAATGTCCCATCTGTGACGCAACAGGGAGAAAGAGCTTTATTCTCTGGCACTTCATTCACTGGTGTTTCTTTTGGAGTCTCAATGTGGGCATCCTCAAAACCAAGAGTCAGCCTGAGGGGGTGAATGTCCCTGCACTGGGCTCCTGGCTCTGCTGAGACTCAGCCACGTCTGCTTCTTATTTTAATTTCAGAAGAGGAAAACATTAAAAATCAACAGTACTCAAAGACCTTTTCACACTAGGTAAATATTGGAAGAACTCAGCATTTAGAGACAAGTTCTGGCCTCAGTTGTACCACTGCAAAAAGCTGGTTGTGTTCATGGAGATCAAATCCTGCAGTAAGTACAGCAGGAGTGTGAAGCCCCGTGCATCCTGAAGTACCCCAACAGCTTCATTCGGAGGGTGATCTTGTGAAGTCAGGGGAGCTGGACAAAGCAACATCTTTGAGTCTCGAAGGCCTGTATTTACAAACAGTGACCGAAATCTGCCTTCAGCTGTGCTGACTGTAAAACTGGAAGAGGCCTGTTGTAAAAAGGCAGCACCTTCTTCTGTTACACTTAGAAGTTTCTGAGCCAGAGATGCCCGTGAATCTGATACTGATAACCCTCGAAGGTGTACTGTTGCTGATGGCGAAGGAGCGAGAGGTGGGAAGGGGCGACTACCTGAGTGACCTCTGATGTCTGGATGGAAGAAACCTTTCAGCTGGCATCTAAGGAATGGGAAGAGGGGTTCGAGAGGCAGCTGTCAGTCACCTCACACCTTTTCTCTGCTGCCATAACTGTGCCAGGAGGAAGTCATGTTTCCAGAGATGGACATTTTCCAGTTGTCACCAGGACAAGGAAGACCTGAGAGAAGAACTGAGACACCCATGCTGGGCTTCCCAGCATAATTCAGATGTTGCACGAGGGTATTTTCTTTTTCCAGGCTCCAGGTTCAGGACTCGGGAGCAAGACCTGCATGCTGTGGGACAGGAGAGTGTGCGATCCCAGCCCACCCCCTCCTGCGTGCAGGGCCAGTAGTGAAGGCGACAGAAGGAAAGGACTGGCAGAGGCACCTTTGAAGTAACTGCTAATCCGCGTAACCACAAAAATTTCTGCAGAGGCTCCTCGGAGGCCGCAGGCAGACCGCTAAGTCAATGCTCAGGGGGTGAGCTGCCGAAATTCCTCTCCCCACTGTGACCAGGCACCGCAGCTGTGACCAGGCCTCTGCCATGGCGGGGGCCCAGCACTACACAGGGGTGGGGTGGCAGTGGGGCCTGGCTACCTTTGTTCGCTCCCTCTTGGCATGATGCCCTCCTTGGAAACGGGCTCTGTTACCAAACATTATTAACCCTGGAGCAGGCTGGCTGGGCCGCAGGGCTGAGCTTGCCTGTGGGCCCAGCACTGCAGGAGGGAGTGCAGGCGTTGGTCACTCAGGTAGGCCTGCGGACCTTGGGGGCTCGGCTGCTTTACAGGGAGAAAGGTCCTGCCTGTATGAATATTAATCCTCTATTAGCTCAGACACTGCATGGTGCCGCATCAGCACCATGTCCACATTTTGTCTTCCAGCTTTTCCCGTCTAGCTGTCTCTCCAGTATTCTTGTGTCGAATACTAAGAGTTGTAACCCTCTTCAGACCAAGCCCATTTTCATAGCTGTGCAGAGCCCAGCACAGCAGCGCCTGGGTCCGCAGTGATGTTGCTAGGCTGCCGTAGGGATGCAGTAACACTTCATTTTGTTTTCCAGCAGGTCATGTCAGTTCATCCAGATCTTCACCCGCACTACATGTGGGCCTGCCAAAACTCGGGCCAACCTGAAAACCCCTTCATTGCTTGTGTGCTTCAAGAAGCCGATAAAAAGTAAGGAAATAACAAACAGGGTGTTTCAGATGCTTCTGAAAGCCTTAAACATGATAGCAGGACAAGGAATTGAAACAATGAGAATGTTCCTGCAGTTTCAGGCTTGAACACAAATCATACTTAGCATTTACTGCTGAAGCTCTGGTTTGACTCATCCTGACATCATCTTGGCAGAAGTTTGTAGCTATATATCTTTTCTGGGCAGCTTTACAAGCAGTAAAATAAAAAAAAAAGTGAAAAATGTACAGGATGGTGCCTTTGTGTCCCTCAAAGAAGCCAAACACAGTGTCTCTTCAGCCTAACTCCCTTCCTTTTGTCTCACTCCTGTTTAAAAAGCCTCAGCTGCATCCAGTTAGCTTCCAGCTGGTAATGGTTCCCTGACGTCTCTGAATCCTGCCAAGGTATTAACCACCCAAATGCTCTCTCATTATGTCATTAGGTAGGGTGTCCTCTCATGGATGCTCCCAGGGTCAAAGTTAATTGTCCTTTGGAGAGAAAACCTGAGAATATACAGTGCAGTGAAATGGTTTGTGTTAGGTTTTGATCCTGAGGGCAGGATGGAGTAAATAAAGGAAAGGGACCCAGTGAAAAGGATATGATGAGGTAACCTGCAGGATAGTCTTCACTGCCATCTGCCTTCCCTTCATCTTGCTTCTTCCTGCTCTGTGTGTGTGTGTGCTAAGTGTGGTCTGGCAGCTGTGCTGTGACTTCAGAGTATTAGCATGGACAGGGCTGAGGTACAGCTTGAATCACGTCTGTCGTGGCGTTACCAAAGTCAGCGGCAGCAGCTAACTGCATGCAGACTCATCAGCGAGGGCAAACGTGGGTACACTTCCTGTCTGGAGAGAGAAGTCCTTTTTCTGTATCACTTTACTCCCCATATGCTTATATTTTTGTGTTACAGCGGATGGACAAAAGGTATCACATTAAAAATAGCTGGAAACAATCCTCTAGTGCCTGTGCAGAGAGTTACAGATGACGATCTCCAAGTTCTTGCCACCGTCTTACGCAGTGCTGTGTTTGTCACAGGTAAGCTTTTTCCATCTATGTTTGACCTTGCTGTGCTAAGAAAACCTCAGCCATCTTGACTCCAGCCTGAACTCATCTTTATTTCTGTTTAGAGATCGGTTCACTGGGGATACGCATCTGTCACATTCTTCATCTTTTTCAGGCTTGGATCTTAGGTGCAATGTATTGACTGATGCTGGAACAAAGCACGTGGCAACGTTCCTCCAGGTGCCAAAATGATGTTTATCATTTGTAATTGTAATTTATTTGGCTACGATAATACTTGTGGTAAAGTGGAGACAAGAATGCATCGGTTTGGCAAAATTCCATTAAATTTGACTTTCACATCCAAATCCATCCCACTACAATCTCAGACTGTATTCTTGGGGGAGATTCTTAATTTCTCGTAGAAAAGCATTTGGCTTGTGTGTCATGAAGAACGGTGGAATAAACTTTGGGGCTTTTAGGCTTACAGTTCAATCCAACAGCGGAGGCAATGGTGGTGCCAAATGTGCCAGGGCCTTTGTTTGAGATACTTTATCATCTCTGTTGGCCTTCGTGTAGGTCTGAACACAGGAAACTTTAGTGCTGCCTGTTTGTCATTGTAAGCACAGAAATGGTGCATTGCTGCTCTGCCCGTGTTCCTGGAGCTCAGGGGGTGTCATCAAGTTCACAAAATGCCTGAGGTCTGCATCTGAGCTTGACCACCTGCCTGGTTTGGCCATGCTGAGCACGTGGGTTCCCAGGCAGTTTCTGTGAGCCCTGTGAGGACCTACACACGCTACACGTTTTTCTTAGACATCTCCAACTACTTCTCCAAATCGGGGGCTGTGTGAAGTGCAGCGAAGGGCAGAGGTGTTAGGGTGTTAAGCACATGTATGACGCATCTTCTGTTTGAAAAATGCAGGTGTGCCCTGGAAAAATGACTCATTGATTTCTGCTTGCTTTGTTCCTAAGGAAAACTCCACCCTGAGGTACCTTAACCTGATGTTTAATGATATTGGCACAAGTGGAGCAGAGCTGATAGCCAGAGCGCTCCACGTGAGTATTCGTCTGGGAGATGTAGACAATGGCATCTGGTTCGGTATTTGTGCTTTTGATGAACAGTCCTAGCTGTCCTGCCAGCATCAGAGCCGGCTCAAAGGGCCCTCTGTCTTCCACCCATTCAGCGTTTTGCTGCATCACAGGGATGGCTTGTTTTCCCAAGGCAGGCTTCAGAAATCAGATTTCACACAAGAGGCACTGTGCTGCCGTTAACACTTAATTATCACAGCTATCACAGATGGGTTTTCTGTGTGAAAAATGCTGTGCTATGGGATACATAATGGCATCCGTTTTTTTCCTTTTTTTTAATTGTATTACATTTGCCTGGACCTCGATGCCTGTATTTGTCTTCGTTCAAGATGTCTGAGACATGTTTTCAAAACTTGCCCTTGCAGCAGCAGCATGAAAACAAGTTTGTTATTTTTAATGTGGTTTCCCAAGGAAATGAGGCTTGTGTGCCAGACTTGTGTTTGTGAAGTGAGACTCACGCGAGCTTTTTCTTCCTCCTTCCTAGTCTGAGAACCCTGAACTGATTTCAGCTCAGTGTGACAGGCCTCCCACACGCTACGGTTGTGCAGGACGTTGTACAACTCTGGACTTGCAGGCGACCCCCAAAGCTGTTTGGGCAGCCCCCCGGCAGCGTTTGGTGGGTGGCAGGAGGAGATGAGGCAAGCAGCCCCTCGGCTGTGTGGCCTCCAGCTGCTGGGGCAGTCAAGGGGGTCCGAGGGGGAAGTGGGCTGTTACTGAGGGAGGGAGAAAAAGAGGTGCTGTAGCGAGACATCGCAGTGCAGGAAAAGGTGCTGGGGACATGGGAGACATAAAAGCTGTGTGAAACCAGGCTCCATTAGCTCTGCAGCTCACAGAACTCCTTGTTTTGTAACCACTTAATCATAATCTCTGGTAACGAGTGATTATGGTGGTACCGGGGAATTAAAAATACAAAACCACTCAGTTGCATTTAAGGCTTTAACGGTGAATAGATATTTCAAACCCGCTGAAATGCGGTGGGGTGAAAGATGCTGACTTTTGTGGATCTGTGATCAGGAGCCAGTGAAGTCTCCAGCCCGGCAAAGCCTTACCGGCGGGGGGGGCGATGCCGACGGCGGCTGGCTTCCCCGAGCTGTGCCTGGTGGTGTGGTTTAAGAGACCATGAACAATAAAGCAAGTTGTATTCTTGTTTAAAATACACTGACTAGATTTAAATCGGTTTTGATATGATTTGCATCTGAGCTGCCAGTTGAGACAGAAATATCTGTCTGGGTTATTTTCATGAGGGTGAAGTTGTGAAAAACCAAGCTTTGAAATAGTCGGGAGCTTCCAGACTCTGGTGAGTTGGATTGCACTGAGGGGAGCCCGAGCCAGCCGCTCAGTCAGTGTTATCACCTGGACACCGTTCTCCTAGGGGGATGTTTTGTCTTTGTGCCACAACCACCAGGATACACAGGAAAAAGGACAGTGGTGTTTTCAGGCCATTTTAAATGAATTTATTTTATTATTATTATTATTATTTTGTCTAGAGGAATGAAACTCTGGTGTGTTTGAGAATGACTGGAAACAAAATCGGAAACAAAGGTGGAATGTTCTTTGCTTCAATGCTACAAGTTAATTCAACCTTAGAGAAGCTGGATCTTGGAGACTGTGACACTGTGAGTAACCAGGGAAATGATCAGCAACGACAAGAGTCTTTCAAGGGTATCACAAAGGTCCTGCCGGGCTTAATTAGGGGAAGATGCCATGTGTTGTCATTGATTTTACACTTTGTGGTAGCTGGAGGTAACACGATGCATGTAATATTGCAGTGCACACTCAGAAGGGCGTGTTGGATAAAACACCTGATGATACCTTAGAGCCACCAAGTCCCTGGGAATCCAGGTGCTTGGCTTTTCCACTTTCCAAGGCTTGTTTCTGCCGTTTGTTTTTGTTATGCTGTCTAAGCCCTGTGTAATTCATGCTGAAGAAAGGACTTTGGATTCCCTGGAGGTTCTTTTCCTTCTGAGGTGTGCAGTGCTCTTAACACCCGCAAGTCACCCAGCTCCATCGCTCCTGTCAGAGCTCGGTCCAGACAGGTGCAAGGGCGCTAGGTTGAGTAGAAAGGCACCCAGTCTGATGTGAGATGATCACCTTCTTGGGTTGGGTGCTGAAACTTCTCAGGCAGTGCACAGGGCAAGTCAGGAGGGTAGAAATGGGTCACTGCACTGAGCAGGGTGCCTCCAACTCTAGCCAGGAAAAGCCCGTGGGTGGCTTATAAAACCAGTGGGGTTCAGTGGGAGGTAACACTTGAAGCTGTGAGCTCCTGGTGCCAGGTGCCAGCGCTTGGCAGGCAGCGTGTCCTTGTATGATCACACTGGAGGGCCTGGAAGGTGGAAATGGTTCTTCTGCCTGCCTGGAGGATTGGGTCCTATACCTTTGCCCTTCAGGAGATGATCTCGCCAAACTAGTAGTAAAACTCAGATGGGTCACGCTCTGCCTTCCTGGGAAGGGTGTTCCTCTTTTGAGGAGACTGTGGAGTGTATGTTGGGCGGAAGGAGTCAGCTTGACTGTGACCTAACAGGAAGAGGGCTGGGTCAGGTGGAAATGTTACTGTATTTGTTTCCTGGAATTACAGAATTTGCTTCTTGACTAGCAGGGCAAATACTTTCCAGAAACTGTGAAGGCTGTTAGGAAAACATAAACAAGGAAAGTGTAGCCAGTGTAGGATTTATTTGAAAGCTTAATATGTTTATGTTTGGGAGGGCGTTGATAGAAAACTGATGTAAAATGAAATAGCTTTGGGTTTAGACCAGCCTAATTGGAAAATAATGTAAATGCAAATGAGAAGGAATACAGAATCTGTATTCTAGACTCCCACTACTCTGTACCACATTAATTAATTCACATTTACTGTGAATTTTACCTCCTGGATAAATGTTACCTCAGACTTTTACCAAAGACCTTAGGGAACACACACAAGCTGATTTTAATTAGTAACTCAGGAAAACCAAAATACAAGAACAATTAAATGGACAAGTATCTTTGAGATGCATTATTCTTGGTTTTTATTTCTAGAGTTGCCCAATTTCCTGGTCATTTGTACTTCTTAGTCTAATATCAGTCCATAGGGAGTTGGCAGTGGTATTATCAGAAAATACATTGTGGCTGTAAGCACTTGCATCTCTCCAGGGTAGATGGAGGCAGAAATACTGGTATTTCTATCTGAGCCCATTTGACATTCCTGATCTACGGACAGTCGATCCTAAGACGTTGTGGTAATTCAGTAGCTTGATCTATACATCGAGCAGCTTCTCCCAAGAGTTCATTTCTTTTCATTTCCAGGGTACGCAGTGTCTGGTAGCAATTGCTACGGCCCTGACTCTGAACAGATCAGTCAAAGCAATAAACCTCAATCGGCCTTTACTCTACAGCCAAGAGGTATGTGAGCAGGCTGGCGTCAGCTCAGTCAGAGCGGGACGCACAAGTCCCATCAGAACTGATGCGTTTATGGAGAACTGAACTACACAGGCTCTGGGTTTCCTTCGAGGTGAAGCAAATGGTTGCAGGAATATTCCTTTTCTCTCTCTGTGCCAAGTTTTGCACAGCCACAGGCTGCCCCTCTTCAACTAGAAGGCTAATTTTTTCAAACTTTTTTTCTTGGTAGAGATTTGTTTCTTAAATAGGCTAACGGAGAGGGTTTGGTGTTGGAGAACCAAGTGTTCCTTCTGCCTTTCCACACGGGGAGCTCAGCGCGTCGTTCAGCAAACCGAGGGAGAAATGCTGTTAAGCAGGAAATGAGGGGAAGCACCAGAGGCTGCTGTTTGAGCAGCACGATACGTGGGAATTGCCAGAGTCTGCAGCCTGAAGAAGAAAGGCACGGCAATATGCCACACTCACTGTGCAGCTTTCTCCTTTCACTAACCTGAAGTATGAATTTAACGAGTGACCGCACCTCAGCAGTGCAAATCCTGCAACGCATTTGTGAGCCAAAACCAGGCACGAGCCCTCTGAAAAGATCCAGCACTGGAAAGAGAAGGCGGAAGGCCTTCTTGCAGGCCACGGGACACGTACAGGCACACGGAGCTGAGGGGCTTTAACTTGCGGGCATGTGGCTGTGGCCGCTGAAGTCTGGGCTGCAGAGCTGGCTGCGGGGGGGTGTCACCAGGCTGGCAGCAGTTGGCAGAGGTCTGCAATGGGAACGGTATTTTCCCGATGGCAGGATAATGAAATCAAACTGTCATGAAGGCCAGACCTTCCTAAATTCCCAAAGGTGAATTTAACAGCCTAAACAGATTTTAGTTGTTTCTTTGCTACTAAGACAGGGCTTGATCTGCCTAAACCCAGTTTTAGGAATAAATTTGAATTACTGCTATTGAAAATATAGGCCACTGAGGGCCTGGTCTGGTCTGTATCTGTGGGTGACTCTTTGCTGTCCTTTCCACCTTCAGCTCCATCGTTGTCTGAGGCTGCTGGGTTGTTGCCTTATTTCTGACTCACAGTATTCGCTCAGTTATTTTCTTAACTAACCGTGACAACTTTAAAACAAATTTACTTTGTGTTCCAGTAACAGGACATATTTTTTCCCATTGCAAACCTGCTTCTTTTTATGAAATAATAGATTAGCATCATGCCAAAATTCTGTTAATGTCACACTGAGTCAAACAATCAGGTTTTTAAGAGCAATGACTGGGAGGAAAACTAATTAGACATGATGATTCAAACATTGATGCTCCTGATATTTGCAGGGATGTATATAGTACTGTAAATCTGTCACGATCTTTCTGGTATTTTTAATTTTATTTTATTTTCAGCATTATCATATTTTTTCCTAGCTATTTTGAATACAAAGCTGCAATATACAGAATAGGACACTACTGAAAACTAAATCCTGCTGTCAGTTGTGCACATCCCTACTACTGAAGCAAGACCGTGTCTTATCCTAAAGTACAGCTTAATAAAACCGAGTGTATGTTTTTAGGAAGAGACCACAGTTCACATAGCTCTGATGTTGAAAACTAACTCCTCTCTTGTGGAACTACATTTGTGCAAGCATGAAATGAAGAACTTCGGGGTGGAGTGGCTGTGTGAGGCATTGTATGACAACTCCAGCCTGAGATACCTTGATCTGAGCTGGTAAGAGCAATTGTGTGACCCAGCCCCACCATTACACACCCATTTTCTTAGCACCCTTAAAACGAATGTGTGCATCTCTTTCAGTAATAAAATAACCTCTGATGGTGCAAAATTTTTGGGAGAACTACTAAAACGGAACCGAACCCTGGAAATCCTTGATCTTGACGCAAACCGAGTGGAGGATGATGGAGCCACCTACCTGAGTGAGGCCTTGGCTTTGTACAACAGGACTCTTCAGGCGTTAGTATTTGCACAACTTGCCCACAAACTGCAGGTGCCGTGACTCAGAGTGTGAGAAACTTGGACTTGGCAGTGGCTGAGCTGATGTCAGAGCTGTCTGCTTTGATCTTGAGCAGGACAGAAAAGGCGGGAAGTTCCCAACTTCTTGCTCCAGTTTTCCTTCTTGGGGTAAAAAAAATGAGTGCCGGAGTGGGTGGGATGCCTTTGCTGAGCATGGGTGTCTTTTGCCATGTGAGATGCCCCAGGGTCTGGGAGACACCCTAGGGTGCTGGAGCACAGGTCCTCTCAGAGTCCTGCCGTTGGAGGCCAGGCAGGACACACCAGATGGCACAGGAGGCCTGTGTTTGGTGACTGAAGTCCCCTGGAGCTTCACGTGAGCTGAGGGAGCAGGGCCAGGACACGTGCCAAAGCCTCGTGTTCACCCTCCCACCCTGCCAGGCCCACTCAAAACTCATTTTATCCCCTTTTCCTTCTACTTCCTTTTTTCATCTTGCACCCATGTGGCCTGACATACTCTTTTATTTCGGAGTTTTCTGGGGTTGGGGCTTAGATCAGTGTTGTAGTGGTTCATGCTACCTGTGACTCACAGCTTTTACAGTCATTCTAAGGAGCGGGAACGATCTTGGTTCTTTTTGCGTAGGTCCCTGTGGCACAAAAACAAACCAAGAGCCATACATCTTCAGAATTTGAAGATAATCAGATCCCATGCGGGATAAGGCACTGTATTTGTTGATTCCGATCTTCAACACTTAGGAAAATCCTCCGTTTAAGTTAGCTTCCGGGTGAACCCAAAGGAGCTGTAATCTCCCCATCAGGGTGTATTTTGTAGCCTGCATTCAACCGCGGGGTGTCAAAGCTGATCAAAGGTGGCACCTGAAGCCGTGAGTTTTAAGTAGCAGACTGAGGAGGTGGTGGCTGCCGGGTGCCTCTGAAAGCCTCCCAGGTTCGCTAATATAAAAATAACTGCCGCTCCGCCGAGATCAAAGCTTAGCCTGGCTACATGCCAGAGCCTGGGCTTCAAAGCAGACGAGAGACGAGGCCTGGCCACCGTGCCCTAAGGCACCGGCACTGGAGAACTGAACAGCCTGGCTGCACGAGTTGTGGAAATGCCTTGGGAAACAGTGCAAGTCCCTAGTCTAAACTGCCTTCAGCAACCTGCACGGTCTGATAGTGGGATGGACTTGATACAAATAAATAGTTGCAATAATAACAAATGTAAAATTTTGATATACATGTAATAAATAAAAACATATAAGAATAATCATAGTTAAACTCTCGGTTTTAGCTGAGAGATGGGAATTCAGTGCTTTGGCACTGACTTGTCTAACCATTCCCTGTGTTTGTTAGGTTGTCAGTAGTAAGCAACAATATAAGTGGCAGAGGACTTGTAGCTCTTTCAGACGCAATGAAAACAAACATGGAACTTTCCTACATTTACATCTGGGGAAACAAATTTGATGAAGCCGCATGTACGGTAAGTGTTTGCTTCCGAGCAATTCTAGGAGTGTTTTCTTTTGCTTTGTTAATGTTTCTACAGTCCGTGGGGAGACTGCAGCAATTAGTGACCAAGACACCTGCTTTACTATGGGTTCTTTTAATTAACTGGAATATGGTAATGGGCCTCACCAGACACTAGCGTAGGGGTAACAGGTTTAAATTGAAAGTGGGGAGATTTAGATTGGACATCAGGAAAAAGGAGAGGGGGGGGAGGCACTGGAACAGTTTGCCCAGAGCTGCTGTAGATGCCCCATCCCTGGAAGTGTTCAAGGCCAGGCTGGGTGAGGCTTTGGGCAACCAGGTGTAGTGAAGGGTGTCCCTGCCCATGGCAGGGGGGTTGGAACTAGATGGGCTTTAAGGTCCCTTCCAACCCAAACCATTCTGTGATTCTGTGACACCAAAATGATGAAGTATTCCCCTACTGTGTGTTATCCTCTAGAGCCTTCGCTGCAGTCAAAGTGCAGTGTTACGTGTCCAATCCTTGCTCTTACTCACTGCAGGCCTTTTCAGAACTAATTCGGACAGGCCGCTTGAAACTGACTCATACAGACGTGGAACCGTACGAAGTGGATGGGCACGCTCACCTTGCAGAGCTCTCCCACGGCCTCAAGAAGCACTACTACTGGACCCCAAGCTGTGGGGCGGTGCCAAACAAAGACGCTAATGCCAGCCTGGCAATTGCAGCTGCTCCAGAACACGTGTGAGCGGGGTGGCAGCTTGATGCACCGTACATGCTTGAGGTTTCCCTGTCTGGTTTCCAGTAAAATAGATCACATCAGCATCAAACCTGCTGCACGTTGCTTCTTTAGGGTCTTTAGTTCAGAAGGAATCTGAAACCACTTGAAGTGGCATTAGAGATAAAATATCCAACCAGTGACCTTAAGACTTGTTGCTAAAAATGCCCGAGCTATTAAAAGCCTATTAATGTGAACAGGCATTAATTTTGCTGCAGTCATTTCTGTTGCGTGCTCTCTCCTGTGCCTCACCAAGACCAGCTGTAGTTCCAGGGCTCCCAGGTGATAATTCAGTGGTGTCATGCTATAGGGAAAACGCTTTCCCCATGGCGCAGTGCACGGAGGGGGCAATAGGTATCCCTAGAAGCAATGGGAAACAACACAGTCACTGACCCGAGGTACGTGAAGAGTTTAGACTGCAGCAGTGCCGATGCAGGGACTCAGCTCCTAGCAGCTGAACTACCCTGTTCTATCCAGCAGCCACCTCAGATCAGGATTTATATCAAGTGCATCTTGTTTAAAAGTGATGCAGGGGCTGGCTGAGAGCAGCAGCAGCGCCTGCGGACAGGGTATTGTGATCACAGGACCCTCTTCCACGGGGATGCTGCAGCAGAAGCGCCGTCATCGCCCTCCCTGGGCTGTGTCTCTGCAGTCAACTTTGCACCTCGCAGGGGAGCCCACAGGTGACGTTCCTGTGTCTCCGCAGGCCAAGTACAGCCACGCAGGTCAAACTGACACACAGCCCCGGGCCTGCTGCTGGGCAGCAAATCAGGCATGCTGCAGAACAAGGTTCCTGTTGAGGCAGAGGTTCAGGTAAGGCCATTTGTTGGGACTATATATTCTCTCCTTTCACTCAGTAAACGGCATGCTTCTCTTTCTGAGTGACTTTTTTTTAAGCCAAGTTAAATGAGCTTAAGTGTTTAGCCACTATAATGCTAGAACTTCAGAGCTAGTGAACCTGTTTATATACACATAAACGGTATTATGATTAACTTGCAGCAGGCACTTGTTTCCTGTACTACATTTCAGTAAAAGTAAGTCAAGATACAAATTCTGATAAAGAAAATTACTGAATATCTACTTTAGCACAAAAAGTACATCTTCAAAGCACGCTGTAAAAAACAAAACCCCAAATCAAACCACCCCCACCAAACCCCACCCAAAACACCTCAGAACAAGTGAAGAAAAACCAACCCAAGACTCGTTCTACTAGACTGTATTTAAAGATTTTGTTTAACATGGTTTGAACAGACCCAAAATATCTCTTGTGAGAAAACCCTGGCGTGTGCACTGCCGAGAAGGGGCGCAGTAAACCCCTGCTGCTGGCACGCTGTGCGAAGGGCTCCCGGGCCGTGGTTAGGTCAGACTGCTTCCCTCCTCCTTTTGCTGCTACCCCTTGCAGTTACAAACAGGAGACACAAGGTGAGGGAAAATTACAAAACAAGTTTATTAAAGTCTAACATAAAACACTTCAGGCTAAGTATGTACAACTCACTCTTCCCAGGGGATTAGAAAACGGAGAGTTGAGCTATATACAAATAACAGAGGAAAAAATGTATATACATGGAAGATATCTTTAAAATAATTTAACCCAAAAAAATCAGTTATTAGTCCTTATCTGAACTTCATTCTGCAAGGCTTATGGATAGCCTCTCCATGATCACAGCCCTGAAATCCTTAACATGGGACCTGTCTGCTTTTTTGGAACACGTGACGTCAGTGAAGTTGTTGTGCTTCGTGCCCGCGCAGAGGCACACGCTGGGGAAGCGTCACACGCTGTTCTCCAAGTATTTCCAAACAGCCAATTCAGAAATTTCTATGTGCAGATAACCCATTCAGGCAAAACTTGCACCGACTTCAGTGCAAAATGGACTGAAAGGGCACCGAAACAACGGTGTGACAAATCAAAAAATGACATCTTTGCTAAATTACTGTTACTGGAATTACTACAATTCCCTCTTTCGTTTTACAGGTAGGTCACAAGAGGGAGATGTCTGCCTCGCTTTCCAACATCAATCCCTTACAGAAATGATCAATACAGTTACAAAATTTGTACCTGCAAAAGGAATCCTGAGTCCTGGGAATTGGATGTGCAGCGGATTTCCACCCATCTACTGGCAAAATGTACAGCAGGACCTGCTGCTTCAGATCCTGCAGCACCTGGCCTGAACACAGCTATAAATATTTATATATGTGTGTAGATATATATAAACCTATATTCTAGGAAATGAATACAGTTCATAGAGACCATACCTCAGCAGCTGAGATATCTTCGCAAGAGATGAGGATAAAAATCGGACTCAGATGGAGACTCAGGAGTACAGGGCACTAAATTATTGCTCCAAGACAAAGCTACAAGCCTGTGGTTTCTAGTAAGAAAAGTTAAAAATGTTGTCTTGTAAAAAATAATGATTATCTTCTTGTCTATAAAGTAAACTAAATGACTACTGAAGCAAGTGTTACTGTTACACGTATCTAAACAAATCCTGTATAAATCTAAGTGCTGTATTTTTAAAAAAGTCTGAAATCTAAGAATACAGTAATAAGCTATAATTTTAGAAATACAAAAACAGTCCAAACAAACATTGTTGTGGAATGCATTTTCGATGTAGGAATGTGATTGTTTTTTTCCAGAGCAAGTTCTCTCTTATGGTCGTTCATCCTGGATATCTTCAGATACGTTTCCGCAGCGTATCGTGAGCCTGTCTTCCACTACGAAATCTATCAGTTGTAGCTGTTCCTCCCTCTCAGTACTCACGACTAAGGCTATCTCTGTCCCAGGACCCCTGCTCTGTCTTCAGAGAAAAAACAAAGAGGAACCTTAGGACAAGCTACACGCGGTTCGCTTTTTTACACAGTCAAGATCCCGATTTTTGTGGTTCTTCGGTCTTAAAGGGCAAGGCTAAGGAATCCTTCAGGTGCTACATCAACAGAGGCTAAAAAAGAAAATGAGGAGGAAAGGGGGAAATGCCAAACAGACAAACACAGATAACTTCACCCACTGTCCTCCACCAGCTTTCTGAAGGACGTCAGCTGTGCAGAAATGCTGCCGCAGAGATAAGCAAAGCAAACACAGGTCGGGTGGGGATGGCAATGGTTAGCTTCCCCGGACAGAGCCAGAGCCACCCGCTTCAAATGTTCCCAGGGAACGCGGCTGTAATCCCTGCTGCCCATGGCTCGCCTGGTCAGCCAACTGGCCATATGTGACAGCATAACCTAAGATCAAGATGCAGTTTAGACATGCCACGTACGAAGCTGATCAACCAAAGAACCGAAAGGTCTATTACCTTACAAGTACGAACAGTAGGAAGAGGGGAAAAAAAAATAATCCCTAGTCATGCTCAGGATTCAAGGGACTATTTGCAGAATAGTTAAATGAAATCCTCCAAGAGATTTTTCACAAGTCTGTTTAATTAAGGTGCAGATTAATTATTACTCCGTGTAGAACAGAATCGGTTAAGAGGTATCTGCTATGCTCTTCTATTTATCAGTGTCTGGACACAAGGCATCAGTGGAAATAAAATGCTATAGCACCAAGTAAATAACCAGCTGCACTGCTGGTACAGTATTATGACCGTTGCCTGACTATAGGACGATTACTTAAATAATGCTTATGTTAATGGCACAGACGGGAAGAACAGGGTATGACAGTACTCCTGTTGTCACCTCTCTTTAACTAACGACCCTACTGAAAACACTAAAAATGTTGCTTTTTAAAAACTGACATTTCTAGTAATAAAACATGCCTTGACGTGAGTCTTGCTAGATACTCGTGCAGTTACTGTGGACAAGTGACACGAGAGGGAAAGAAATACACAGAAATACTTCAGTGAAACCCTCGCCTGAAGAGCGTAAAACATTCGTCCTTAGTATCCCCCTCACGTAGCGTTTGCTTACTGTTTTCACAGTGAAGGGCAGGATTTATTTCCTCTTTTGTGCCTACTGCCTAGCACGAGCAGCAGCACTAAAAAGGGGATCACGAAGCTGCGATTCATGCCTCGCCAATTAAGTCAAGCATCTTTCCGTCTCATCTACAACATGTGTGTGCCAGCTCTCCTTGTGAGCAAATGTTTGAGCCCCAAACCAGGGCAGCTTAGGGATGTGAAAAATAAATCTGGGACAACATATAATAATGCTGGATTCATATAAAAAGAACAAAGTGACTTGTTGGAAAGAACACCCAGTAGTACCAACACCATTAGAACGCTCTGACTTGCCACGCTACAGACAAAAAAATAACCCTCCTTTACTGGCCCCTCTGACTTGCCACGCTACAGAAAAAAAAAATAACCCTCCTTTACTGGCCGTGTCAGGAAAGCACACACCAAATTTTCTCTCCCTCTGGTCGGACTTCAGCTGCAGACGGCTACTCCTG